TCGGTCGAGCACGTCCCGAGATATCGGTTTTCACCTAAATGTGGGCGGTGCCGCGCCCGTTGTTCAAATTTGTTACTGGCTCCTATAAAACCCTCTCGAACCATTTCGAGTGTAAAATTGTATGTCTCCACTGCATTTATTTATAGGTTTATCGCACTTTAAGTAATTTTTAACATAACCGATATGTGGGAGAGGGCGGGAGTTATAATCCGAGCTCATCCATTTTTACACTGTCAGCAGGAGTTCTTAAAAATTTTTCTTAAACAAATTTATTTTTTATAAATTAAATAAATAATAATTTTACAGTTTTATATCTTAATTTAGTGCTTTGTTATGGCATTTTATAGGTTTTCAATTAATGGCGTTTTGTGGGCGTGGCAGCGGTTTCATTGCATCCATTTACGAATTCGTTCTCTCATTTTAGCCAAGAAACATGTCCACCAAGTTTCATTAAGATATCTATTTTTTCTAAAGTTATGGCTTGCACAGGCGGACACACGGATATCAACTCCTCTTGTCATCCTGATCATTATGTATATCGTAAATGAATTACAACCAAATTTGATATTTTATTAAGTTATATTATAGGTCGTAGACTCAATTTATTTTATAACTATATTTTACTTCCCGTCAGCGACAGTTATATCAAAATCGTATTCAAATAACATAATCACAGTAGAATCGGCAAAATTTAATATATTCAATTGATGTGGAAAAAGTCAACCAGAAGATCGGAATTTATTGTGGTAAGGATATGACGTTTACATCAAGGTCTAAACCAACTCCATTCATATTCAGCGCCAAACTATTTATATTATAAATTTTTAAAGAAAAACTTTTCTACTTCATTTCATTAAAATATCACAAATTTTGACAAACTTAACGATTCTAAGTCAGCTGGAAAGCGGAAATCACACAGGGTATATTAGGTCAGTGCTTGTAGCACATATTGACCGATATTTGCGGTATAAAGTTAGACGGAAGTTCGAACTTTTTGTAGGTAGATGCCCCTCCATAATGCGATTCGTTATACCAATACATATTGTTTATTGTTGTAGAGCTTTGTTATGGCAATTTATAGGTTTTCAATTAATGGTGTTTTGTGGGCGTAGCAATAATCCGATCATGCCCATCTGCAATACAAACTTTATTATGGTGCCAAGTTTCATCAAAATATCTCTATTTTTACTTAAGTTACAACTTTCACAGACGCATCACTTACATATGTATATATAACCTTATATCTAACTCGCATAGTTTTAGGTGATATAAACAACCGTTAGGGGAACCAAACTATTATACTCTGCATCAACATGTTGCAAGAATATAATAATAGTTAAAATTTTGAGTAAGAGACGAGACAAAAGTCAAACTTTTCGACTCAGAAGATTTAAGAATAGACTTGAATCGTGTCGCATCCTTCCATTCGCATTTCATGAATTCAATTTGTTTGATGTCTTATGAGCGGTATAAATTTCACTGGTTCAGTTAGTTCCGAATGTAACTCAGAATAATTAATAAAGTGGTTTATACTGTGATTTTTATAATTGGAAAATGTTATGAAATTTAGGATTTGAACATATTTTTTGGGTACATGTATATTCCGAATAATTAATTTGAAGGCCATCCTTCAATTACACGTCCAATTTTTCACTACTTTTCTCACCATAGCCGTCCTTTTCTTGCCAATAGCGTGACCATTGATTCTACATTCCTTCTCAAAAAGAATCAAATGAAATAAACTAGGTAACCACTTGATGTGTACATTCATCGATAAGATTCGGTTATCAGAAGTTCTTTCCACTAAAATGGTGATTTTATCCGATTTAAGACTTGTTGCACCATCCCTCTGAAACTATTTAGAGTTTGGATGGTTGAATAGTTAAAAAGAAAATTGGTTAGTCTAAGTGTCGCTATAATGCCTTAAGTCATCATTAGGCCCGTTGTTCTCCCATATATTTATTTATTATTTAATATAAATAATATGAATAAATTTCGAAAATTAAAAACGTGTAAGTAATGTCTTATTCCATACGAACAGTAAGCAAAATTCATATTTTTTTCTACTTGCCGCTTTCCCGTACACATCAGCACTAAAGAATGTCCAGCATCACTAAAGCCATTTAGAACAGCTGATTTTGAGCATCAATTGCACAGAGAACACTGTTAGCAATAAAAAGTTACAAAAGGGCATATTTGATATTTGTTTACTCATTTACTCTCACGCATGCGCAGTGTATAGAGTAAAACATCGCCACAACATCGAATGTAGAGCATTGTGTCAGGTCAAAACTACTTCATAATTACAATTTCCTTGCTTATTAACTCACTTATAGCATTAGTGTTCCTTGCAACAACAAAAACTGAAATTAACTATGGTAACTAGTAAACATCTTCATTATCTTCATTATTAGTCAAGCCACCCACCGTCGGTAGCCTTGTTACGCTTCGGTGGCTCTGCCACCTTCATTGCTTTTCCACACACTTTTGTTTTCATTGGGTTAATCGGCGTCAACACTTCGTTTTTACCATTGTTTGTCAGCGCTTTGCTGCTACCAACAGTTCACATGATGCGTTGTAGGTTTTCACAGGCGAAATTCAACGACTCAACCGCGCACACACACCCGCACGCTCGCCGATAATATTTGACTTCAGTACCTCGTTTGTTTGCCTATCGTATTTGTGTGTTTATTGTGTGGGTGTGTGTATGTGTGGGCGATTTCGTGTGCCTGCACAAACCGCATCCGTTGCGGTAGGTCGGAACTTCGCTTTTCTTCAGCTCGCTATGCCTATGGTATGTGGGCCTGTAGTTGTGGTTGTGTGTGCAACAGCTTTGTTGGAATTTTTCCTCCTCTGAAAAGCTGTCGCGGCACATATCTCGTGTTAAGACGCTAATGCCGTCGCCTGTGAGTGGTTTACGTTAAGATTTCGCGCTCGGGTTAAAGAAGGTCGTTTATTCAAATTCGGTGGCACATGCTTTGCATCAAGTAGGAATTTCAGGACACTTTAATATGTAGATAAGGTTAAAGTGAAAAAGTCGGAAGGTGTATCCAATGAAGGGGTGAAGGAAACAGAAGGGTTTTTTATGCAGATACGTAACTTTAAGTAACATATGCACAGGTGTACTTATATACAATATAACGTTAAAAGAGGATAGTTGTTTAAATTATTTTTCTTCTGGTTGAATTGCTAAGGAAATTTCTGCAAAAGTACATAATAAAAATTCAACGAGCGCAGTGTGTTTCATTTAATGGCAATACTGATTGCTCATCTTCACTAATTTTCGCAAACCGCCATCTTAAAAATCCAATGCCATCTGTAGGAAATGTGCCAATACCGATTTATGTGATATTGTCGCAAGGCAGTCATAGATATTAATCAGGTATTCGGTTGTTCATTTTTTGCCCACAGTGTACGTATTTTTTATATATATGTGCGTATCTGGCCTTACATCCTAAATCAAGTTTTGTTGGGAGGGCTTAATTTTATCGCTCTTATCAACCGATATGTGGAAAATAAAGTTAATCAGAGATTAATAATAACAGGGTGAATAAGAAGTATCACCTATGTCTTTTGAAATTTATGTATTGAATGATTTAACCTATTTTTAGCACCAACTAATTACATTAAGATATTAAACACAATGTCTATTCTATCTACCTATTCAAATGAAATAACGAAAATAATCATACAACGGTATCTAATATGGTATACAAGATTATAAACCATACATACCCCTTACTACTGTAATCAAGTTGATCCTATAGAAACTGAGTTATAACACATTTTGATTTTCAAAAACCAATTCTACTTCGGAGAATATGTTGTGAGAGTACAAAAGTCGCTGCCATACAAACTGAACGATCGGAATAAGGTGCTTTTATAGTAAGCTTTTTCATTTGACGAGTTATCTTCAAGAAATTTCGCATGGGCTATTATTTAAGGCAATGGTGCAATCTCCGAAAAAATTGTTTAGGTCGAGCCACTATAGCATACAGCTGTCATAAAAACTGACTGATCAAAATCAAGTTCTTGTCAGAAATATTTTGTATTATATGAAAGGTATTATAGCTTCGGTGCAACGGTTTTTCATATTTCTAATCTTTAGCAAGAATCTTGTTTTATCTATAAATTTAAAGATTTTTAGAAAATTTACAAATCACTGCGCAGTAGTGAAGAACTCTCTAGAGTCAACGAGTTTTTGGAACTCTAATGTATTGTCAACGCAGCGTTCTCCTTCGGCAAGCAGATCAGCTTTATGATTATTTTGATTATTTTATTTGTTAGGTAATTTTAAATTTGCCTTGCATTTGGAGTGATTTAATCATTTCTTTCCTGGGATGGGATTTTTAATTTAAATATAGTTATTAGTCCAGATTTTGTAGGCATATCTTGAAATATAGTTAATGAAGTTATTATTTCGAAAGTCTGTTGGCTGAAACTGGTTAAAGCTTGACTAATTGTAAATCAAAAGGATGAAATTAAAGCGTTCGGATAAAAAAATAATAAAAAAAAAATACCTTACTGATTACTGATACTAAATTCAGTAGAAAGAAGAGTTATCAGGTGTTCCAAAATTTGGTGCACCTTTCCATTCAATAGATGTTGGGCATTTTGTGCGCTACTGTAGTTGCAATAAAATTTTCCATGTAAATATTTTAAACCTCGAACTTCATAAGATAATAAAATTATAAATGGTATTACTATGTACCAGTCCAATATGATACCTCTTAAGCCGAAACTGTTACTTCGCAATAAGCAGCCTAAAATAACAGCATGATTTAACAGAGAGCTGTGAAGTGCTCACTTAGCCTTCACACCAGCACTCAACCGTTCTGTACCGAAGCAACGGCACAGGAAAAACATCGCCTTCACACAAATGAAGTTTCATTATGCGCTTCGGTACAGTCGAAGTTGTGAGTGAAGCGGAGGCATTTCATGTAAGCGCTATTTACTGTTGGTTTGATGGCTACTGGTATGTGATGTTAATGCTTGCATTAGCCTCATAGCGACTGCTTTTGTAGACCGCCGGGCGGCTAGCTCGTCGTAGGTTAGCTGTTATGTTGTCGTAGTCGTGTCGTATCAAACATTCGTATTGCCGCATGCGACGCATGTTGCCCCTTTGCTCAGATACAATGCGTGCTGGTGAGTGAATTTTTTGCTGCTGGCTGCCTTGCGCGCAGTTCTTACGTTTATCAGCAACTTCATGGCTAACAGCATTTCCAGTAGTTAACGTCAATTCAAAGTGAACGGTAGTGAACGTTAACGATTACGCGTGAGTAAAACGGAAAAAGTCGTCAACATTTTCGTCACATTGCCTTCGTATGCGTATGTGATTGTTGTCGTTGTCAGCGTCATTGTCGTTGCTGTCGCCGTTGTCAGTGTCACTGTCAAACGCGTTGTAATTGTCGGCTGTGTAGCGGATATCCAATTCAAACGAAATCGACAATTTAATGAAATTGTATTCACTCATAATCATTTAACTGTACAGGAGTACTTTTTGAGGTTATGTACAATTTAAAAAGTGTTTAAATGATTTAAGATGTTGGCTCCAGCACAAATCATGTGTGTAAAGTTGTAAGCAGTTGTAACGGAGGCTAATTGAGTGAAATTCTGAAGTTAAGTTCTCAAGTACCTTTGTGACCGCAAAAACTACATGAGTACACAACATACAATTTAAGCCAAGTGATTTATTTAATAATATAGTGGTATATATGTAAAGCTCTTACTTTGGGTAAACATTTGTTAATGACATTGCAAGGAAAATGTGATCGAACAAAAAGTAAAAAAAAGTAAAAAAAAAAAAAAATAAAAATACTTGTTTGGAAAACAAACGAATTGTATGCACAATTTGCTCATTCGGCAGAAAACTTATGCCTTAAGTTTGTTTGTTATTGTTTTCTTATGTTCTAAAAGTTTGCCGAACTGCTACTCTGTTGACGAAAGATCGAAAGCTATGCAGCATGTTGTGAGAAGTGTTGCGTATTAATCAGCAAATTTTTGAATCTTTTTTTAAGTAAAAAGGGGTATGAATAAAAGAAATAGTGTTGTATAAAATAACTGGTAATATAAAGTGGACATTTCTAAGAGAAAACAAGTAAACAATAGTAATATTGTAAATAAAATCGAATAGTTGAATGAAAATTGTACAAATAATAAAAAATTAAAGTTCTCAAAAATTAGTTTTATAGTTCGAAAACTTTTTTATTTGCGTTTTAGTATTGTGTCATTCCACTTATATGTGACTGTGTGTCGTCGTATTTATAAGCTACTTGTGCTAAAACTTCTTAAACCTAGAAAACGCATAAATAGATTTTCCACAACATTAAGCACATATACATAAGTTATTAGTGTTTGTGAATGTCAAAATAAAAAAGCATCGAAAACAAAAGAAATCAAAGAAGTTAGTTATCTACATAAAAAGAACGCGGAATTTTCGTATAAGCAGCATATTTAACTGTATTTTTGTAAGCTGCTTCCATCACAGTATCAGTATCCTGACATTGGCATCGCCTTACGGGTTTAGTAACGCGCCTAAACGTATGCAAAGTGAGTACTAACTGAAGTAGGCAATAAGTTACCAATGAGCTTTCCGGATAGAGAGAAGAAAGGCAGCAAAAAAAATAATAAAATAGTAATCAAAGCGTATTAGTGCCTTTGTTAGGTATTGTTAAGTGATGTGCACTCAAATAAAGCATTTGCTCCCCGAAGAGAGGGCAAACGTTACAGAGGCAATGTTTTGTAGGCATTTTTTTCGTCGAAATTTATATTTGTAGACTGTTTAGAATTCGGCGCCATTGCTATTGTTTACATTATAAATCCACTTTTCGGGAGAAACTTGTAATTCGCTGTAAGAAGCTTTATTCATTATATTCGCTTTCAAAGCACGACTTTTCAATGTTCTTTTCAAATAAGTGGCTTGCGTTGTGAAGTTTTTGAATCAAATCTGGTTTAGAAGTGACCTGCCATGAAAGTTTTTTAAATTAAAAGGGCATGTATAAGGGCTAACAGATGATGCTTAGAACTATAGTGCAGTTTAATATATACTGATTTTCATCAGAAATCTGACAAGTGCAGCTCGCAGTGCGTGTGCTCTTTATTCACATTGCAGTTGCATGCAAATGAAACACACACACGTTCGAAATAATGATTCTTCCTTCGACTATATAATGTCGAATCAAACTACCAAGTTCAAATGAGATATAAGTTCGAAATGGAATTCAATTAGTCTATATAGTAAAACCTCCAATTCGGGTTAATTATAGTTTGCATTAATTTACATTTTAAACACTCTTGCAAGAAAATGCTTTGTATGTACACCTTTACCCTCTATCAGGCGTGCAGACTTTTATTCATAGAATGCACCAAATTTTATATAAGTTCAGGAGTTATATTTGCCCATATTTCCTGAATATTATTAAATTGAGTTTAGCTGCTGACGGAGTCAAATTAGTTTTTAAGAAGTAGTTGTCCATTCTTTACATAATTTCTTTGATGAAAACATTGCACTACACACCACACAATGACAATATTATTTAATTTTGTATCTTTTAGCGCTTAGTCTTTTTTACGCCATACAAATCGACGACAATCAGATCCAAATAAATTCAATTTTAACTCATCTGTAACAAGTAAGGAAGTTCTAAGTTCGGATGTAACCGAACATTTTATACACTCGCAACTTGCAAGGATCAAAGCCTGGGAAACTACTTCAGATGTTCGCAAAATTTTTATTTTATTATATGAATTTCAATTACAATATATATCTTACACATTGACCGATATTTTCGGTAAAAAGTCAACTATAGGTACTGTACCTTGTGCAGGGTATAAAAATTACGACAATTGTTAACTGGTTTGGTCTCAGTCATTACTCTGTTAGCCAATAAAAAGTTCGACGGTTTACAATACTATACTTTACCGTTAGTTTTTGTACCAGCCTTTAAAAATTATTTTTTGATTCAAAGTAATTATGTACGTTCAATTAAATTGACGCTTCATTACGGCTACTGAAAACATAATTTGCAGAATTTTTTTTTTTTTTGTTCTCAGTAGTGCGACAATTCCAAATGGCAGCGCGACCTAATTAAGTTCTTTTGTGTCAAATCGTTTGAATATAAAATTGTCCTCGACTGTTTCGTCCCAGCGGTTGCGTGGTGACGAAGTTTAATTGAATAAAACCGCGCTTAACAAAGTGGACACGAAGCCTGAACACGCTTTACAAAAATGTGAAAGAATTCGTTGTTATATTGAATTCAAAGAAGTTAACTCAACTCAAAATATAAATTGGAATCGCATTCACTGTGTCATTTTACTTTGGGGCCAGTATGAAAGAAAATCATTAATGATTGATTTCACTACTCAATACAACTCTCACCTTTCGTTTTGCAATTTACGTAATTGGCTCAAAACATGAGAAGGTTTGGTGTATTTATTTCTAGTGGAAGCAGTTACTAATTGTTGTGTACGAAATTGATGAAAAATTTTTTCCAGAACTTATATAAATACAATATTTTATATCAAAACAAGGATTATTAATTGAATATAATATTAAAATTTGTTGTTTTTTAATTTTTCATTAATTTTTTTATATCTACATTAAACTATTGAATGGTAAATCGATTATCGAATAGTATTATTTATATTCTTGAATTTTTTTGATTACTTACTATTTTATATTATTACTTTTTGTTAAAATATTGGCAAATGGTTTCTTAACTTTTAAAATGTTTTAAATAATTATTTTAATAGAAGAAGAATTGAATTTTTATATATCATATTTTATATATTTTTTAGTTTTAATGTTAGGAAAAAGTTTTTGTATAGTAAAAATGAGAACATTTTCGCGTTGTATAATAAAGTTGGGCAATAAACCTGCGACGTCTATACCTTAAATGATGATCAGCGTACAATAAACCACCTTCACAACCGTAATTTCATATCAAAGCTTTTTCATGAATTCTAATTATATACATATAAAATGACCGACATAATTATAATTATCATCGTCAGCATTGTTTTTTCGAAGATCTACAGTCGTTAAATCCTTAAGGGGTTCAAGCACACTTTTTGATTTTGCCGTGTAAAGTTTTCTGAAACTTAAAACTTTTTACACCTGATAAAATCAGAAAAGATTGCAGACGCAACACACTGACACATAATCCTTGTAAACGAGCATGCCATTATTTATGCATAAAATATATTAGGCAGATTTCTAAGCAGATTTGTTTTCACGGCTTTCATGTAGTTAAAAAAACACACACAAATACATGTATGAAATTGTTTACGGTACATTTTCAAGCAAATACGCCTGTTTAGTCCAATTCAAAAGTCATCACGCCCGCAATACATGGCGAAAGGTAGGCTGCCTACGCTGGTTTTGTCGGAATTTTTAAGCATCCTGTCAGAAGCCAAACAAAATAAAATACAACCACAACAACAGTTACAACGTATCTGTAGAGAAGCTGCAAAGTATGCATTGTTAAAATAAGCATGCAGCGAAAGGCGCAGCAGCAAAGTTATTTTCGGTCAGACGTTAAGATTGCTCCATACGTCTGTCTTTTGGCTGAGTGAAAATGAAAAACACCTACATGTAGGTAACAGTGAGTTTGAGTCTATAAATAAATAAATACTGGGTTCCAAGGCTCTTAAAGGGAAGCCAATAAGTGAAGGTCCAGGGGAATACTGACGAGTACTTTGTTGGCGGGTGTAATAAATATTGGCAGAAGCTACTGAAGCTCCCTTACACCCTTTCTACCTCTTTGCTGGACATCCGGTGGATGCTCATCGCCTGCCATTAAAAGTGAATACTGATTGATAAATTTTGCATTACACTTTGTCATCATCAGTGCTTTCTTAACTTAAAGCTAAGGACATTAAAGAGAATATTTAATCGTGTCGCCGCAAGATTTTATGACAGCTGTAAGGCGAAAGGCCGGTGCTTGATGTTGCTTTCAGCATGACACTGCGGAAAATTTGCGCTTAATTAAGTGAACTGAAGTGACAGACAGTGTGTGAGAGTATAAAAATATATGGACATATTTTTTATTTACTTTTGCTTAAAAGAAAGTAATGCATCTCCAACTTTTTTTGGCTTTAAAAATATGATATAGTCATCAGGCGCACGAAGAAACATAGCTACTGCCTTGCCGAGGCTTGAATCTACCAGTTTACAGTGTACAATTTACCATGAGAAAACTAGGAATTTTATAAATTTAGACAATAAACGCTCAACGATTCCTTGCGACTTGTTAATAAGCAAAATGGAGGACAAATAAAAAATTAATTTCAACGTGAGTTATCTAAGAAAATTGGGTATAAATATTTTCCTCAAGATCAGATCTTCTTCTAGCCCGCTCCACCTATTACTGTGCTTTTCGATCTACCCGTTGACTTGGCATCGAATATACATCAATCAATATATTAATAAATATGTGTGGCATTTCATGAAATTGAATAGTGAAAATTTCGCAGAAAAAGAGTAAATAATATTACTAAGTCAGTTAGATTAGATGATTTTATAACAATATAAAAACGAAAAGAAATTTAAATATATAAATAAATAGCTAGAGAGGCATCCATCAGGTTTGCTATAGGCGTGGAACCTATTGTACATGATGTAATAAGTATTTTAAAATATAAGGTATCAACCTTATGTAATATAGCTGTAAAACGGGTAGTTTTAGATAATTTAGTATTGTAATGGAACCAAATAAGCAATGTGGCTTATTTTTTTAGTGCCAAACATTTGGGTGTTTCGGTTCATAAAATCTTTGTGTGCACATCTAACGAATTTATATATTTAATATATTCTTAATATTCCTTCCATATGCTAGTTTATTTAATTTACGATAACACTGGAATACAGCTCTCTTTCTAACCTCTCTCCATTTATTCGTTTTTATACCTTCGTAGGATACCTTTATTATTTCCTTTCATTCCAATTTTAAAATATCGTCATATAAAAGTAATAACAATAGCTTCTATTTGAAAATTAATTAATACTTAAATAAGTAACACAGACTTAAATGCTACCGAAATATAGCATTCTAATAAATATCACTCTCTATATGCGTAAAATATGAAAGACATTTATCAACCGAAATACACCTGAAACCCCATTACTTAAGTACTCTTCTACCTAGTGTCAGTGACCTCATTAAAGTGCTATCTTAGTATCTTAGTAGATCAAACTATACGCTCAAAAGCGAATATACTTGTATTCAGCATAAATTATTTCAGTATTGAATAGATTGGCGCGCACACGAGCAAATCTATTCTTTCAAATATCCTTTCAAAGACATGTGAGCAGATACATAACTTCGCTATTGTGAAAATGCTTTTACGCCCACCAATCAACTTCATTGTTATAGCTGAGCATTTATTTACGTTACAAACACACATACTTATGTTTGTGGGAGCGTCCCTGTATGTAGCGGTGACAGAATCCTTTTGTTTGCACATCGCGCATCAATTACTTACAATGTTGTTTGGTGATTAATAGCTTGTATGATTAATATGCGCACAACTACTACACTTGAGTTAATATT